TTTTTGTCAACCACGGTATTCGGAGCTATCTCCAACTAATTCGTTGGTCGACTCGGGTCGCACACCTGGCAGTGGAGGTGAGTCTCCCAACAAGGATTTTTTGCTTCCATTCCGCACCATATTTTGATCTGCCTCTTCTTCGATCTGGAATTCCTGAGTCTCCCAACAAAAGTTTTCTGCATCCACAAGGGCTTGAACCCGACACCACGAACCCGACACCACGAATCTGACACATTGCTTAAGCGACATCAAAATGCTTACCACTTAGCCAACCTGTTGGTAAAAAGGTTCTCTTTTATTTGTTATTTTTTTGCTTGTTTTGGTTTATTTTATTTCAGTTTATTTAGTGCTTGATTGTTTATGGAATAATTTGTTCAAAATGAATTATTTTGGTTAACTATAATTAATTTTAAAATGTGGTATGATTAATTGTTAGTGGAATTTTAAAAATGTATTAAAATAATATATAAAATAAAATAATTAAAATTGATTTGATGTAAAAGTAATAAATAAATGATTGTAAATGATAGGTAATTAAAATTATGTGAGTAGATGAATAGTTAATTAAAGTTGATGTGATATGTAATAATGATTGGTTTGTATTATTTGATTATATAAATAATGTTAAAAATAGTGAAGTTGAGTTAGATTTTGAGTTGAGATAAAAATACGTAAATCTATATATATATTAAAAGTCAACCTATTTATCAAAAACAGTAGCAAGAAAAGACAACACACATTTAATGCATACTTTATTTGGAATTTTTTTACTATATGCATTAAATGCTTGCATATTTACATTTACTATCTAAATATGATCTTCAATATTTTTTCCTTAAATAATTTATGCAATGATTTTACTGATATCCATTATAATTAATATTTGTCGAGTAATATTTTTTAACCTTTATTTAATTATATAACACTAATATTTTTTTAAAAAATTAATATTATTTATTATTTAAAAGATAATAATCACATCATTAAATAATTTTATTGATGGTTAGATAATAAAATTATAGTTATTCTTTAAAATTTTGACATGTTATTTATTTGTATATTATTGTCAACTATGATAGTGTTTTTATCACTTTTTTTTGTTATGTTTCAAAAATGAACTTATTGTAAAATATTTTTTATTGCATAGTATGTTAAATAAACTATAAAGCCTTAGGATGAAAATTAGAAAAAATCTCTTGATTATGTAAGGAATTTATTTTTTGGCAATTGCTAAATCATTTTTCTTTTAAAAAAAAGAATTATTATGAGAAAATTGAATTCTAAAAAACATGTGTGTGTATTTTGTAAACATTTATACTCAAAATTTTATTTTGAATTTCATTACATAAAGAAGACTACTTATATAAATTTTATAAATAATAATAATTACGTTATATGACTGTAAATTTTATAATAAAATAATAATTAAGTATTATATGGTGAACAATAATTAATAAAATTTTTATTTTTTCCTATATCAATGAATAAATATGTATTCTAAAATCAAATAAATATTAGTATGACGTGTTAGCGGAATTATATATCAATTAACATGTTAATTTTTGGCTTAAATAAACGTCACTTATTAAAAGATGTGAAATATGGATGATCCAAACTTTTTTTTTTTGTCTAGACGTACAAGTCCTATAAAAATAATTGATTTATGATATGTATCACGTGCATCGCACGGGGTATGCACTAATAAATGACCTTAAAATTGTGCACCCCGTGCATCACCCGTGTTCACATTTTGGCCTATTACAGGTCACGTACTATATATATCCCGTATATTTTTTTTATTCGTTTATATAATTATAAGAATGGATAAATGACCTTAAAATTGTGCACCCCGTACATCGCACGGGCTCTTTACTAGTTAACTCATAAACAAGCAAGCTCTTAGTATATTCACCTACCAATCATAATAAATTGCAGGTGACGTATTAAATTAACATGTCTACTCTGTGGGACATGGAAATAATACTATGTGACGTATTAAATTAAAATGATGTATTCGATTACTTAAATAAGCTGAATTCAAATAATGAATTAAATCTATTAATTGAATGAGTCCAATTAAGCTTATTAGTTTTTAACTCGTGTATTTGCACGGAAAATAATACAATAAAGGAAAAAATAATAGAAAAATATGAATAATAGTAAAAAATCATAGCATAATCACTATAATCACTTGAGATATACTTTAAGAAAGAAAAACAAAATATTATTAAATACTTTTGTACAATGTTTTGTGACCCGGACCGACCCAGCGGGTCGACCCAGAACCGGTCCGGGTGGGCTAATTGGACCGGGCAACAACAGACCCGGTCAAACCCAGTCAAAACTCGGCCGACCCGGCCTTGACCCGGTCGACCCGGGGCATTGACCCGGTTGGGTCAACCCGGTTGACCCGGTCCCTATATATATTTTTTATTTTTTTTGTTTTTTATTTTTTTTTTCTTTTTACAAAATAAAATTGTGTATATATATTTATATGGTAAATATATACATATTATTACCACTTTAATCTACAAATTTTACATACAAAACATTTAAATTTGTTATTTTGTTGTATATTTATATAGAGTAATGCTCACATACCCACGGTGGGCACATCTTAATATGTCCACCGCTTATGTGTCATGCACACATTAGTGATGTTAATATGTTCAAAAAAATACATCACCAATATGTGCATGCCACATAAGCGGTGGACATATTAAGATGTGCCCACCGTGGGTAGGTGAGCATTATTGTATTTATATATCACAAAATACTCTATATATAATTTTATAAATTTTAAAATTAATTATCCGGTTCAGCAATTGACCCGGTGATCTGGAGACCTGCCCCGGTCGATTACCGGGCCGGGGCCAGAGCGAAAGGAAAGTGGAAAAGGTTAAAAGCCAGTAGCTATCCAGTCGAATGCGAGGTTTAAAAACTATGCTTCTGTATAAACAACGTTTGTTTTCTTATCATCACAACGTCAATCACCATAACTCATTATCTTCAAAGACATTTTAATAATTATAGTAATTTGTACTATAGATCATATAGGATTTAAAAAAATTTAAAAAAATTAAATATAATCTATTTTTTTACACATACAATATGGATGTTAAATCGAAATTCATCAATAGATGATTAATCTGATATATTATACATGTAAAACTGATAAAAAATTAAAAGTTATTAACATTTAAAATATATTAACAATTTGATGGTTATAATAAGAAATCTATATATATAATTGCTGGCATATAGCATTTAATAAAACCTATTTAATAAAACTTCTAAAGTTTTCCCTCCATTTTCGGTTACAAAATTTATCATTAATATTTATTTACTTCTCACATTAATACATCCTATTAAGTGTAATCATGTATGTTTTTATTATATTATATAATAGTTATTGTTAATACCAACTAATAATAATTCACATTAAATATAAATTACATAATTATACACAATTGTTTCAAGTTATTATTTTAACATCAATATTATCTTTTTCTTTTGTACTTCATGAAAAATTATCTTTAAAAACAATTAGTAAATTCTTTTAATAGCATAGTCAAACAACTTTACAATCTTATAAACAATTATTTTTTAATAATAATATATAATTGCTAACTTAGCATTTAATTTTACATATTTAATAAAACTTTAAAATTTTCCCTCTATTTCGGTTACAAAATTTATCATTAATAATTTTTTACTTCTCATATTAATACATCATATTAAGTGTAATCATGTATTTTCTATAATATCTTATAATAGTTATTGCTAATACCAACTAATAATAATTCACAATAAATATAAATTACATAATTATAAACAATTGTTTCAAGTTATTTATATTAACATCAATATTATATTTTTCTTTCATTTGTATTTCATGAAAATATTTCTTTAAAAACAATAAATAAATTGTTTTAATAGCATAGTCAAACAACTTTAGAATCTTATAAACAATTGTTGTTTAATAATAATAATAATAATAATAATAATAATAATAATAATAATCGAACTGTTATTATCTAATGATAATAAACAATTGTTCATAATAATAAAATCGTTAATTTATTTTTTCACTGTTATTATCTAATGATAATAAACAATTGTTCATAATAATAAAATCGTTAATTTATTTTTTCTAATAATCAAATTTTTGAAAATATAATATGTTTATTATCTAGAATTTTAATATTAAATTCCCAAATATTACTTATAATATTTTATGTACATCTGTGCATGTGCACAAGATTCTACTAATTATATTAATTTTCAATTAATACTTGTAACCATAAATAATAGACATTTTAATAGATAGTCTGAACCTAATTATTTTAGGATTGGAAGTAAATTAAAATTTACCCAAGCCAAATAATGCAATATGTAATTTTGACACATAAGATCCTGAAGCATGTAAGTCTGCTAATTATTAGTCTAAACTAGGAGTGTGCATTGTTCGACTAAAATCGACCGAACCGACCGAAACCGACCAAACCAATAATTTCGGTTCGGTTTTTGACCGGTTCGGTCGGTTTTCAGTTTTTAGCATTTAACTATTCGGTTAATTCGGTCGGTTTCGGTTTCTGGACTTCAACGGTTTCTGGACTTCAAATGTCCGAAATAACCTAACCAACCGAATAATATATATATTTAAATATATAATAATATATATTATTATATTATATATTATAATATAATATTTCTAACCCTATTTCTTAACAGATTGCAAAATACAGAAAACAGATGCACTCGATTCTCCCCTACTCAAAGTCTCAAACTCTCAGTCGTCCTCTCCCTAACCCTCCGCCGTCCCCAAATCTTATGCCGCTGGCGTTGCTCCTCCGCCACAAATCATCCCAATCCGATCCATCCTTCAAATCGTCAATTCGTCCCTAAATCCTCTGCCCTCAAAGTTGCGTCTACGAGCCTACGACTCCTTGTCGTCGGTCAAGACTCAATAACTCTTTTTCTCCGGTCGCCAATTCGTCTCTTTTGGTAAGTTCAAGACAAATTTTCATTTATGGTCGTCGATTCGTCTATTTCGTTGGTCACTTTTTTTTTCAATTGTTGTGATCCATTTGGATCTGTAGTTGTTCTTATGCAAATTTTGAAAGAAAGAGCTGAAGGTATGAAGGTTATGAAAGTCCCAAACAAATTGGTTTTATGGGATGTTTGAATAAATGTAATTCATATGAACTTAGGCCTTTGGGCTGTTTTTTTTATCATTTTTAGCTTGGACTGGTTGGATTTGGAATGAAATGTTTAATTTGGATATGGTTATAGGTTGTATTTGTGTTGAATGGACAATTGTGTTTGCCCAGTAAACAATCATAAAAAAAAAATATATATATTTTTTTTTCTTTATTTTTTTTGTAAAATTTCGGTTAACCGACCGAAAAAATCGGTTCGGTTATACTTCAATTTTATGCACTTAATTCGGTCGGTTCAGTTTTTTAAATTTAATAAATGGGTTAATTCGGTTTTGTAGTTCGGCTCGGTCGGTCGACCGAACCGACCGATAAACATCCCTAGTCTCAACACATTTTGAATTAATATACAGAGAGATTATGTAAGTGCTTATGACAAAAATATCTAGTGTTGCTACAAAGATATTGAATATGAGGACTTGAGACTAAGATGTATGCAAATTCAGAGCTTTATTTATTTTTATATAACAAATTTCAAAAAATAAGTAACGTGTTCGAATTTAAGACTGCCTTGTTGATTTGCACAAACATGGAATATATATGTTTGGATTCAAGACTGCCATTAGTATATGAAATCTGATTTGTACAGGAAAACAATTAAAATAAATGGAGTTTGAATTCAGTACCAGCAGATCAGATAAAGAAAATAAAACATAAGTATAGTAATCAATAATTATTTGTTTTGATATAATAATATTTGTTCATGAGTTCATTGTTGTAACCATTGTTCTATTTGTGAAAAAAAAAATGGATGAAAGAAGGTATGAAAATAACAAAGAATTTGTAAAAATGTTACATGTTTGGCATGTTCCATTGTCGGTTAAAGCATGATGTCTTTTGTTGCGCACTATGTTATATCCAATCAACCTTCTCATAGCTACGAATTTGGAGAAAATTTGATATATTTTGTCTGAAATAAAAAATTAGAATGAAAAGTGTTTTCAGATTTTGTTTAACTAAATGAAAGAATCCGTAGGAATTTTTATTTTTAAAACTTTTACACAATAATCGTTTTAAATATAAAGGCAAATGTCTTGGTAAAAATTGAATGTGTGGATAATGACAGAAAAATCAAATTATTTCTTTCTATATTGGATAATGTGCAATATGGCCCACATAAATTGCTGTCTTTTTTTTATTTGTCATATAGATTTTATTTATTTATTTTATTGCTAAATTCATTAATTATGTTTAATATTTCTATATTATGCAATAACCTACTTTACATAAAATGTCTTGTCAATCCTCATTATGACGTTGTTAATTTCCATTTAATATGAATAGGTTATTTTATTCCTTATCTATATACATATAAAAAGGTTTGACATTTACTTAAAAAAGAAACTAAAATCCCGCCAAATAAATTTGTCTTTACTTTTATTAGTAAATTATTTGAGATATGGCGGTCATTTTTTTAAAATTCGAATTTTAAGAGTCAACAAGATCTGTACAATATAGGGCATGGTCAAAATTGCGACAAAATTGTTTCATTGTGTTGTTACAAAAAGATTAAAAAAATCAATAAAATATGTACGAGATATATACGGCCAAAAAATGCGGTTAACAGAATATTCGTGTTACTTTGTTACAAACAGAAAAGGAAATAAATAAAATAAGATTTTATTAAAACCATCAATAATATCTGTCTCGCATCTCTCCCAAAATCATATTTGAACAAGTCTTTTTTTTTTTGCCAAACATCAAATATATTATTAAAACTAAAAAAATGTACATCCGTGAGCCAACGGGCTACAACTGGTTCCCCAAGATCACATAATTGCACCCTAGGACCCCAGTAGAGGGAAGCAAACCGAACCCCCTTATAAGACCTATACAGGCCAATACCAATACAAAAGGAAAAGAGACAAATGACCAGATAACAAGTCTGTTACATAAAGAAGTCACAAAACAAAAAAGTATGTTACATAAACTAAATTAAACCCAAGACCACGATCCCATAATCTTCAAAAGGCTCAAGATGTCCTCCACTAGTACAAGTGCCTCCACATTGACCAGAGCTTGCCCCATCAGTTTCTTCTTCAATTGCAGATTATGAGTATGCCACTTGATTTCCTGCCATCCTGCAGCTCTCCCCTCTAACAACCAAGCCCTCATTGATATAAACATTTTTTCTTCAATTTCTCATCTGCACTGTCCTGTGAATTCCTATCTGCTAACCTTAATATTGTTGTGATAAGCCAACCCTACTACCTGAAAGCCTGATTCTGAAGACCCATTAGCACTGAGAACATTTGAATGTTCCCCTACCCCTTGCAAGTCTTCAGTATCCTCCCTGGTATTAGAGTTGAGGCCTGGCCCTGCAATTAACCCATATGAGACAATATTATCATATTCAATCCACTCTCTATAAGCACAATCCACCAATTGTTTCTCAGAAACCCACTCCCCATTAAACACCCATCCATTCCTAGTTTTCCACAGCCACCATAAGATGTATGTGGATAATGCAACCCTATCTTTGCCACAACTTTCAGCCTTCACCTTACATACTTCTTCCCACCAATCTCTAAAGTTCATCTCCCCCTTCTGCAAGCAACACCATTCTAAACCAGCCACCTTCCACACATTCTTTACCCTACCACAATAGAACATCATGTGTTCCAGAGTTTCATCCCCCTCTCCACAGCCCTCACAAACAGTATCCCCCACTCTTCCTCTTTTAGCTAAGTTCACCTTGGTTCCCAAACAGTTATGGAAACACCTCCACACAAAATTTTTAATTTTATTCTTAATAGGTAAACTCCATGTGACATGCCACATACTTCTCTGGTTCTGCCTACCCCTACTACTACCCTCATGGCCTTCCAAAATTCTCCTATGAGTTTGTATAACCTGATAGACAGATTTAACAGTAAAGATCCCTTTCTTGTATGGCTGCTAAATCAATCTATCTTTTGCATCCACTTTGCTGATGTTAAGCTTCAGAATATTTTCTGCTTCAAGAGGGGAAAAATTTTGAATAATTAACTCTCTATTCCATTCCCTCCTGTCTGCATTTATCAAATCAGCTACTTTCCTAATCCCATTTCTATCCACATTTGCCCCCCCAATTGGTTTGAACTTTGGCACATTGGGTATCCAAGGGGATTCCGAAATTTCAATAGCCAAACCATTTCCTATCATAAACCTAGCCCCCAGCTCCAAAAATTTCCTAGTCTCCAACCATCCTTTCCACATCCATGAGTCTGTATCCTTCTTTTTCACATGCATTAAATTCTGATTAAAGAAATACCTGCCTTTTATCACTTGGCTCATCAATAGATTTGGTTTTGTGAGCACCCTCCAGATTTGCTTGAAGATAAGAGCAGAGTTGAAATCCTCAAGATTTCTGAACCCCAATCCTCCATCTGATTTAGGAGTGACCATCTTGCTCCATTTCAGCCAGTGAATCTTGTTTCCTCCTTCCTCAGTCCTCCCCCACCAGAAATTTGCTACACATTTACAGATATCAGCACATAACCCAATAGGAAGCTTATATACAGACATAACATAAGTAGGCATAGCAGCAAGAACTGTTTTAATTAGCACCTCCCTCCCTGCCTCACTAAGATATTTATTTTTCCAATTGGCAATTTTTGAAATTACACATTCTTTAACAAAATAAAGTATCTTTTTTGGATTTTCCAATTCCTAGAGGAAGCCCCAGATATCTAGAAAATTTTGCTAGTGCAATACCAGGGAATACATTACAAATCTCCTTCCTCAAAGAATCAGCAGAATTTTTAGAAAAGAAAATATTGGATTTATGGAGATTTACAGCTTGCCCCGAGGCTGAACAATAAGACTGGATAATGTCAAAAATCAGAGTAGCTTGAGATAAATCAGCTTTACAAAATAGCAAGGCATCATCAGCGAAAAATAGGTGAGAGATTGGAGGAGAATGCCTACTAATTTTAACTCCACAAAGGGTCTTAGAAGCACAAGCTTTGGATATAAGGTTAGAAAGAACTTCAGAAGCAATGACAAATAAATATGGAGATAGGGGACAACCTTGCCTAAGTCCCCTAGAGGGAACTACATGCCCCAAAATCTGCCCCCCAAAGTTGAAAGAGAAAAAAGATGTACTAATGCAGGCTGTTATCCATCTAAGAAAGATGTCAGAAAAACCCATATATCTACAGACTTTAATCAAAAAGCCCCACTCTAATCTATCATAAGCCTTCTCCATGTCAAGTTTTAAGGCCATGAAGCAAGATTTCCCTTTGTGCCTGGTATTAAGAAAATGGACACATTCATTGGCAATAATACAATTGTCTAGAATTTGTCTACCAGGCACAAATGCAGCTTGGGCAGGAGAGATACAACAATGGAGCACCTCTTTCAGTCTATTAGCTAAGATTTTAGCTATAAGTTTATAGGTAATAGTACACAAACTAATAGGTCTATAATGCACAATATTTGTAGGCTTTTTAATTTTGGGGATTAATGTTATGACAGTGTGATTTGTGGCCTTAGGGATACAACTAGAAGAGAAAAAGTTTGAAACAGCAGAAAACAAATCCCCTTTAATAATATCCCATGCTGATTGGAAAAAGAAAGGAGAGTAACCATCAATACCTGGTGCCTTATTGGGATCCATAGCCCACAGTGCTTGCTTGACTTCTGTTTCAGTCACTGGCTTGATTAGGCTTTGATTCATTTCAGCGGTTATGGTTCTAGGAATCCCTTGAAACACAGATTCATCACACCCAATCCTTTCTGATTTGAGAAACTGAGCAAAAAAGTCCTCCACTTCTCTGACAATATCATTCTTGTTTTGACAAGCCACCCCTGTTCTACTAATGAGATGATCAAGACTGTTCCTCTGCCTTCTCTGTTGAACACAAACTTGAAAGAACCTAGTATTTCTGTCCCCCTCTCTCAACCATGTAACTCTAGATTTGTTTCTCCAGTAAGTCTCCTCCTCCTTGTAAGCAGTATGCAACAAACTCTTGCAGTTCTGCCATTCTACCCAATCCCTACCACCCCCATGTTGTCCTAGCATTTCAAGTTTAGCATTGCACTCTTGGATCACCTTTGCAGAATTGGATTTCTGTCTAGCCACCCACCCCAACAAGCTGAACCTAACATGCCTGAGTTTTTTCTGAAAACTATACAAAGCAGGCCCCTGCAAATCTTTCTTCCAAACCTCAGTGAGATGCTCCTGATATCCTTCTAATTTAGGCCATCTATTATCAAACATGAATCTGCCCTTTGTAGTCTCCTTCTCCTTGATAATTTCTACTAACAAGAGACTGTGATCTGAAGATATCAAAGGAACATTCAGAACATGCACAACAGGGAACTGTAAGAGCAATTCAGGGGTAACACACACTCTATCAAGCTTCTCTTCTACAAAGTCCAACCCCTGTCTGAGGTTTGACCAAGTAAAGGGATACCCAACTAGAGGACATTCAATCACTCCCAGGTTGGCAAGGAAATTCCTAAAATTAATAAAGCTATGCTCCTCTCTAGATACTCCACCTCTCTTCTCCTTATTAGATAGTATATCGTTGAAATCCCCCCATCTCAGTTGGTGCCTATTAAGGAGCTCCCACTGAAACTGTCTTTCAACAAAATTCACACTAGCATAGACAAAAATTCCCCACATATAATCAGAGCTACCATTCAAACTGAATTTAACTTCCAAACTAAAAAAATTATTAATAATTTTTATAATAGTAATTTTAGAGGACCAACAAAGCAAAAGACCCCTCTGGATCCCACATAATCCACACAAAACCACCTAGATTCAAAAGGGAGATATTTACAGACAGTAGCAATAAAAGGTTTTTTCTTTTTGGTTTCAGATAAGAAGAGAAAATCAGGGGGGTAGGACTTTACTTTTTCCTTCAACTGGAAAATTGTACAGGGTCCCCCCAAACCTCTACAATTCCACACCATGACTCTCATTTGGAAACTTGGGACCACTTTTGGTTGGTTTCCTCCACCATTTCATCAGTTTGATTTTTATAGTTTTTTGATCTTTTAAAATCTGATTCAATCATATCATCACACACCACAGGCAATTTTTCAGTTTTCCTTTTTAAGAAGTTCAGAGAAAAACAAACAGAGCTAGACCCAGGATTAGAAACAATATCAGTAGCTTTCTCATGTTTTTCTTCTTTCTTATTTCTGGGGATTCTAGTGAAAGTTTTAGGAGCCTTGGTATTATTGTTTGCAATATTGCCAGACTGCACTTCCACCTCCACTAGTTCCCCAGAAACCCCAGTTTCCTTGAGAGCATCAACTTCCATAGGCACCAAACTAGGCCCTTTATCTATTGGTTTAGGTGTAGCATTCATGCCCAGCTCCCCTCCCTCCTCAAAACTTTTACCTACCTTTAGAGGAGTCTTATATCCATCCCCACTTGACTTTCCCCCCTTTTCACTCTCATGGTTAACAACCGCTATAGACCTCTCATCTTTGCTAACCCCACCCAACTCTACCCCAGGTTGATGCATTTGGCTGGCTAAAGACACCATATTTGGAGAGTTACTAGGGGTAGATGACTTCTTGTCCCTCAAATCCTCAAACCCACCCCCCATTGCTCTTAGCCAGTCCCCATACTGTCCAGTTTTGAACACATTCCTTTGGATATCTTCTTTTTTTGTATCATATTGTCTCTCATTATGTCCTATTCTACCACAATAAAAGCAGAACCCCAGCAACTTTTCATATCTAAACTCAACCCAGTGTTCTTCCCTTCCTAATTTGATCATGGTTCCTCTAGGAAGCGGTTCAGACACTTTCACCTCTGCTAATATCTTGACTATTCTACCATCATTAGATCTCGCATCTGGAGCCACCACATCTAACACATTGCTGAATAATTTCCCAATTTTGACACCTGTTTCTGCAGATATCAAGTGCAACAGCAACTTGTGGATTTGAACCCATAAATCCACCTTCAATTCATCATCCCTGAAGTCAGTTTCCCCTTTTCGCCATTCTTTAAGGATTAAGTATTGACCGTCAAACGTCCATGTTTTTCCCTTCAGCACCTTCAGTTTGTCTTCCTCACACTGAAACAAGAACTGGAAAATGTTTGGCCCGATCACTCTAATAGAAAAGTTCCTAGCTGGTTTCCACACGATGGCCATTGTTGTCCGGAGACCTCCCAAAACCAAATCTCCCAAAATCAAATCCAAACATATCCATCCAAAATAATTCTCCCAAATCAATTTCAAACCATTTCTCCAATTAGGGCTCATGTGGATATAGGCACGGTGGAGCTCCATCGTCTTCTCCATGTTCGATGAACGGCGATGGCAACATCAGCCGGGAGGAGCTCAGCGAGTCGCTAGAGAATCTCGGGATCTAAGTGCCAGAGAAGAAGTTGTGGGCGATGATCGGGAAGATTTATGCCGACAGGGACGCCTAGGTGGACGTCGAAGAGTTCGGCGCCATGTACGAGCAATGGAAGACGACAGAGGCGAGGAGGGGGACGGCGGTGAAGAGGACGTGCGGGAGGTGTTTAGGTTTTTTGATGGGAGGAGGCAGGTTCATCACGACAGATGAACTGAGGTCGATGCAAGCGGCGCTGGGGCTTAAGTAGGTGAAGACGCCATAGGAGCACCTGAGTATGATCGCCAGGGTCAACTTAGGTGGCGACCGGAGGGACAACTTCGGCGACTTCCGGCGGATGATGAACTGCGGTTGATTCATTAGGGTAAATTTGTTGTTTTTTTTAAAAAAAAAAAATGTTTTGATGTGCAAATTGGTTCGTCAGGGTAAATTTACTGTTTTTTTAATGAATTTTTTTATTTTGATGTGAAAATTGCAATTTCTAATTGGTAGTGTAGTTAATGAATTTTGATTCTTACCTCTATTTTTAATTGTGCTAGAACTAATTTTATGTTTTTGATCTGCAAATCGCTTATGGAGGGGTTTCTGAAGAGGACTAAGGGCAGGGGTTTTGTGATAAAGTCGTTGGATGTGTACTCCCCCGGGACCCGTGCATTGCTGCGAATGAAGAAGGCGTGCGTCGGGTGTGAACACCGCCAGCCGCCATTGTCAGGTAAAATGCAGACAACAAAACTGTGTTTATAAATTCTGACGGTTTACCAACACCATTTATGTTATGACTAAACCTTAGTGAAAAGTTTTTGTAATTGTCCTTGTGGATTATGATAATATCTCCACATTACCAGCTAGAGAGTGAAGCATGGACATTTATGTGATTTTTGTGGTTACTAAAAAAAATAAGAAGTGAATTACTGATCCCTACTTAGGATAGTACAAGTGTGTACTTTGTAGCAAAAATATAAATGCTGATGTGCCATTTGTTTGTATTTACCAAAATTCATCTATGGAGAAATGCATTTGTGGAAGTACAATACTTTGTAGTAGCACCTAAGGGGACACCAATTAGCTTCAGAAAGAAAGTTACAATGTTTATGTTATTAGACTAAAAATAATGGTGTAGCTTTTATATATTGCTCATGTAAAAATCGGGAAGTCCATATTATAATTGCATTTTTTACTTTTGACACTTGAGAAGGCTCGTTACACCACAAGAGATCCAATCACTGTATTAAAGAAAAACATAACTGAAAAAAAAAATTGGCAAGTGAAGCAGATTTGAATTTGAAGGCCTTCGAGAAGAAGATTGAAGAAATTGTTGAAGATTCTGTCAAGTTTGCCGATAAAAGTCCGAAATCATCAGGTTATAAAAGTCTATAAAAGTCTGGTTCCAGCCCAAAATCAGCTGCTAGAGAATGTATTTGCCGACCCAAGGGGATTCAGAATCGGGTATGATGGGAAGTACAGATGTGAGCACACTAAATTTGCTGAAGGCACTGCTCATGTGTAAGAATGATTCTCACCTAAACTAAAAGCCTTGGCATGATTAGTGTCCAGTTAAGTTGTTTAGCTGAATCTTAGTATCTATTTCTGATTGAAACGACAATTTCAGCCGCTATTTTTGCTCTGAGTGTTTTTGATGTTTTGTTCTTATTGTCCAGACTTTTTATTGCTCTATTGTTTGTTTTTCATTTTTTTTTTTTTTTTTTTTNNAAGGTTGTCTTTTTTTTTTTAGTGTTGTTTGTTGGATGATTTTTAATGTAGCAAACTTGATGTGCAGTTTCTAGAGATTTCAATATTGAAATAAAATGATTGTTATTACAAAGGGGATTAATTTTTTATGAGTATTAGCTTTAAATTTTGTTTTGAGATATCATAATACATTTACAGTAAATAGTCCTTATGTTGTTCAATATGCATGATTCGTTTTGGTTTTTACTTTTAAATTTTTGATACAATGTAAAGTGTAAATGATATTTTGTGTTGTGTCGTGCGATTTATTTGGGAATAAAATTTATATTGTATAAAAAAAATGTTATATATATATATATATATGGACATTTAAGTTAAATAGAAAATTTTACTATTAAATATTGGATTCATACATATCAATAATCATTCAAGTGAAATATGCTACATGTACATAATAAACTAGTACAGAGCCCGTGCGATGCACGGGGTGCAAAATTTTAAGGCAATATATCTAGCCTTATAATTATATAAATGAATAAAAAAGATGTACGAGATATATATAGTACGTGACCTGTGCGAGACACGGGATATATTCATTTGAGGAGTATTATAATTTAATATGCAATATTCAATAAGGGTTGTACAATACACAGGAAAATTGTACAATAAAATAGTATTGAAAAAAGAAACAATCATATATTATTAAAGACCTCCTTGTACACAACATTATGAGTTTGATTATCGGGTAACTACTCATTCTCACAAACTAATATCTTCAACCCCCTTCTATTAGTCACACGCGAAACATCAACATATAATTGACCATGACTAAAGACAGACTTCTTTAGAAAAAAGACCAACGTGGGATAAAGTCTGTCTCTGACTCTTGTTTATGGTCATGGCATACGAAACCATAAGTGGAAACTGCCGCCGTTGAAACTTAAATGGAACTCTAAGATCAGAAGGAATAATATTTATTCTAGGAATCAACACTGTGTCGCCAGCATGATCACCAGTCAATATCTTGCATTCAATCACATGAGCGGAGAGATTAGTCACTACCAACTGTGTCTTATTGTAGAGTCCCATTGGTTAGACAAAATTAACATGTTCCCATTGTCTAATATTTATTTGATTTTAGAATACATATTAATTAAAATTTATTTATTTGATTTTAGAATACATATTTATTTAAGCAAAAAAATAAACATGTTAATTAATATATAATTCGGCTAACACGTCATACTAATATTTATTTGATTTTAGAATACATATTTATTCATTGATATAGGAAAAAATAAAAATTATATTAATTATTGTTCACCATATAATACTCAGTTATTATTTTATTATAAAATTTACAGTCATATAATGTAATTATTATTATTTATAAAAGTTATAGAAGTAGTCTTCTTTATTTAATGAAATTCAAAATAAAATTTTGAGTATAAATATTTACAAAATACACACACATGTTTTTTAGAATTCAATTTTCTCATAATAATTCTTTTTTAAAAAAAATAATTTAGCAATTGCCAAAAAATAAATCCCTTACATAATCAAGAGATTTTTTCTAATTTTCATCCTAAGGCCTTATAGTTTATTTAACTTACTATGCAATAGAAAAATATTTTACAATAAGTTCATTTTTTAAACATAACAAAAAAAAGTGATAAAAACACTATCATAGTTGACAATAATATACAAATAAATAACATGTCGAAATTTTAAAGAATAGCTATAATTTTATTATCTAACCATCAATAAAATCATTTAATAATGTGATCATTATCTTTTAAATATTAAATGATATTAATTTTTTAAAAAAATATTAGTGTTATATAATTAAATAAAGGTTAAAAAATATTACTCGACAAATATTAATTATAATGGATATCAGTAAGATCATTGCATAAATTATTTAAGGAAAAAATCTTTAAGATCATATTTGGATAGTAAATGTAAATATGCAAGTATTTAATGCATATAGTAAAAAATTTCCAAATAAAGTATGCATTAAATGTGTGTTGACTTTTCTTCAACGGTGACTGCCAAAATATACTCTCTCGCTCAACCCTAACCCCCAAATTCCATCCGCCGCCTCCTCAATATTCTTGACAGTCGGCCTTCCCCGGTGACTGCTTTGCTCCGGCCAATGGCTGTCTTCAACGGCTCGCATCACTGCTGACTGGCAGCCCTTGGTTTTTGCTGCGGGTGGTCGGAGATGGTTCGTCGGTCTGTGGTTCCAGACGGTCGCTCGATCCTAGGCGGAGGATGGTCAGCGATTCGGTCGTCGGCAGGCCCTCGGGTGGTCATCGTCGCCATTGCGATCTGTTTCTGGTATGCAAACTACGGGTCCCTCCCATTTGGCTTCGCCTGTTCCGGTGGAGCTGGGGGTGGAGTTCGGCCTCCAGTTGCCGACGATTCGCGGTGGCGAGGGGTGTGGTCTATTTGTGGGGCAGGGCTTTGGCAGCGTCTTGGTGGGGCGTGTCCTTTACCGTGGTTGCCGAAGTAGCGGATTGCGCCTCCCCCTCCCACCCATGTCGGCTAGTGGTGTTAGGCGGCGGGGGACCGGTTCTCCCGAGCTCGGCTAGTGGTGTTAGACGGGTTCGGGTGGGGCTGGGATGGGGGCTGGTGTTTGTTCGCTCGGTTGGAGTCGGGTCGATTCGGAATTGGTTCGGACCTTGGTTTCTTTTACTGTATAGGCTTGATTACAGTTTCGGTAGCAGTTTCTTGGCTTGGATTTGTCTTCCGTCGATCGTATACTGTTGGTTTGGGGCTAGCTCGTTTGCTGGGGAAGGGCTTTTAGTTTATTTAGTTATTATGTTCTTGTTTGTGTTGTAGTATCTGTTTTTGTTTTTGTCTTGTGTTTTTGGTCTGGGCCGTTGGCCTCTGTGCTGATTCCCCCGTGGGGGGCGATCCTATTCTCCCGTGGGGAGCGATCCTAGTTGTGTTGGTGTCTTTTAGTTGTTTGTAGTAGGTTTTTCTATTCTAGCGTGGCTAACGAGGCTCTAGGCGGTCTTTCGATCCGTCCTCCCAGTTTTTAGTTCTTGGTTGTAATATTCAGCCTTGGGCTGCTTTTTTGCACTGTTGTGCGTTTTGATTTATAATACATCTATCGAAAAAAAAAAAAAAAAACATTTTTTGTGGGAAATCGAAATGAGATTTTATTAAATATTTTATTAATGGATTAGCCAGCAATTATATATATGTAGATTCGTGAATAATTTAGTTTTGTATTTCAAATTTTCAGTCA